AGGAGGGCTAGGCTAAGATGACCTGAAGCCATCAGTTCAAAAAGTTCAATTTCTCTGACAGGTCTAGGAAAGCCTTGATTCCCTTCATCCCTTCTGTCCCTCTGCAGCAGATGACTGAAAGCCCTGGGTGCCCTCTGAAATAAGGCCAGCTCCCCTCAACTCTGTGCAACCAGGTAGCCACCTTCACATATGACAGTGATGTTGGCTGGGGGGAGGAGAAACTGCCCAGAAGGTCCAAACCAGTATTAACCCTTAATTAGCTGGAGAAAGAAACCCCTGCCACCATGCAGGTAGCCTAGCTTTTGCCAACTACCTCAAATATTTCCCTCACCCCTGAGATGGTGCTGTGTCTGGAGCCCAAATGTCAGACTGTATTTGTGGATTGTTTCTAGAAACCTCCAAGTCAGTGGGCCCAGGAGGGAGCTTTGGAGCTTCCAAAGCAACCTCATTTTCTATACAGAACTTCAAACCCTAGAAAGCTGGCAATTTGGGGAGTAGCTGGTTTTGAAGTCAACAAAACAACTCTCCCCACTCGCTCTCATTTTCTAGAGGCTCTACAGTTTAGGGAAGGGAAATATCTTTTAAGATTCAAGATTTTTAAATATTTAGGACGAAGTTTAAATATGAGCAGCTTGAGAACAAATGAATCAGGGCAGGGAGGGGGGCACCTAAGAAAACAGCAGTTGTCACCACCTTTTCAAGCCTTAGAAGCTTGAAAAGGAACAGTACTTTCACCAAGGCTGCTGTTGCTCTTCCTGTGTACAGCAATCACAGGAGGCTTGGCCCAGGCACTCAGTAGCTTCTAGGTTTTTCAAAATGGAATCAACTATTTGCTTTCAGAGCACAATGTAGGATAATCAGGTGCCCCAGCCTCCAGAAAAAAAAGCCATTCTATCACTAACATCTTATGCAGGTTAAAAGCAAATAAAAAACTCACTCAAAGAAGACTATTAAACTGCTGTCTTGGTGCTAAGGTATTCATATAGTTTTGCATTTGCTAGGAGGCAGATTACACTATGCCTCAGATCAGATAAAGCTCTAAGAACTCAATAATGAAAAGTGGTCACTCATCACAAAAATGTGTGCCTCTGCCCCAGTCAGCCCAGGAACAGTCAATGAAAAAGAGCAAAGCTGGTTGGTGACTGTATTAGACGATTAACCACTAACCACTGAGGCCAGAGACCTTAAAGGCTTTAGTTAGTCCCAACCATTGAGCTTTCCTGCTTATATCGACTAAGGTAAAATATGGCAACGATGAGGGAATTTTTCATGAATATTAACCCCGACAATGGGTTAATGGCCAGTTTTCCTTTTTATAAGCCTATCTCAGGAATTGGTCTGGAAATACTAAGAGGGGCATGAATATCAACCACTGACACTAGCCATTGCTAAGCTACAGTGCCAGAGAAAGGCTTTTTAATTTATCTTTTTTAAGGGCATATCTAGCAAAAGGGAAAGGCTTTTAAAGGACGCTTTTGTGAGGTACAGAGATGAAGCCAGTTTTCATCTAAGTGCATGCACAATATAAAGAAAAATTAAACAGGCTCCAGGAGTGCCCCACAGGAAGTCTACTTCCTCTTCTTGGATATATTCTGTATGGGTGCATAGTCTAATAGTTTGCTAACTTTAGATATTTTCATTTAAAAAATCTTTCTCCTGCATAACATCACACCTACCAAAATAACTCATCACCTGAAATAAAAGAGTTTCATAAAGACAAAAAGAGAAATGAGAAGATAGGTTCTTGACACTAGTGACAATTATCTGTAGGGTAATTTTCTGCTTATTCCTGATTTGAAAGGAAGGAAAGATGTATCCATAATCCAGAAGACCCAGGAATGGAATAAAGTTCTTCTATTAAAACCTCATCATTGGGTGTTAAGGGGTGCTGTTTGGTACACTGAGGCTAAGCCAGAGTTTCACTTTAATTGCAGACAAGGAACAGTTTATAGGCATTCCAATTGTAATTCAGAAATAATCCATTTCTCCTGATGAGCTACCTAAGGCTGAAAAATAACTTCCTGTGACAAAGAGGAATGACTCAGAAAGTTGAATATTATAGCAGCTGAAGTGGAAAAGGAATGCATGCCTCTATTGCGAGGTTAGTGAAGAGAATAGTCTGAAAATTACCTTTTCTTTCTCTCTACAAACTTTCCTACTCCTCCCTCCCTCCCACTATAGCCTCCCTTCTAAGTTTTCATAATAGCCAAAGTGTAGAAACTAGTAGGACAGTGTTACCTTCAACTATTCACCAATAACAAAGCATGGAAGTATCTGAAATGACTTAGTTTTACCAAAAGAGACTTCTCTAACTATAATTTGACAAAGTACTTTAAGCTATTAGGAAACATACAAAAGGAAACCTATACACTTGCCATTTCCTTGTAACCACTGCCTTGCCAAGTTAACCAAGGTTGCCACAGACTAGATTTTACATGTGACAAAGCCAAAGAAACTCCTGTAAAGAGCAACATGATGTGATCTCAGGTTCTCAAGAACCACCTTGAGTGACTTTTGTGAGTGGGAAAGGTGGCCCCCCTGAGCCTTTATTCTGGCCGAGCATATATACACAGACTAGACCAAAGAGGCTTCATACTCAAATGAGCAAGACCAGACTACATTCAAGAGCATAATGTTGGCCAGGCGGGGTGGCTCCCACCTATAATCCTACCATTCTGGGAAGCCAAGGCGGGAGGATTGCTTGAGCTCAGTAATTTGAGACCAGCCTGAGCAAGAGAGAGACCTGTCTCTACTAAAGATAGAAAAATTAGCCAGGTGCCATGGCACACATGTGTAGTCCCAGTTACTTGGGAGGCTGAGGTAGGAGAATCGCTTGAGTCCAGGAGTTTCAGGTTGCAGTGAGCTACAACACCACACCACACTCTACCCAGGGTGACATAGTGAGACTATCTCAAAAAAAAAAAAAAAAAAAAAAGTTAATGTTGTTTGTGACCATCCAAACCCTTTCATTTGGCACCTGCACATCAGGATGATGGCTTTTATTTAGCATTTAAAAATACTTAATAACACTCTCATGAAAATATCCTCATTATGATCTAACAAATGGTAATAAGCTGGCTGCTCTTTAAAATGATAGGCAAATATAGAATGAGCTTTCAGGATATATGCAACTATAGTCAATAGTACAGTTAATAGCAAGCCAAAAACTGATCAGTTCCCACCTGCTCATGATACTGACAATACATAGTGATTTTAGGTTAGAGCTCAATTCTAACTCCTTTCCTGACAACTGTTAGCAGTCAAACCTTTTCTACAAGGTCAAGGATGCTAATAAGCATCCTTGAAATGCCTACAAGTAAACAGCAGCTAAATGCAGAACTGTAAGAGGTTTCAGGTTATATAACATAAGTTCCAAGATGAAGGAATAGGGACAGTGAGAGATGAGACAAGGTGAACAAATTAAAACCAGAAGCAATGGACATTTATTCCTCAATTTTTGTGCAAGAGTGTAAAGATGCATTTGAAAGAATCTTATGGCTAGAGAGCATCAGCCATGGCCTTTAGGTTGGCCTGGTTTACAATTAGTTTAGGAAAAGGAGGGGGGGAAAATAACTTGCCTACTTCATACAAATTATGTTTCTGGCAAACACAGTTGTTTACAAATTTCAAACTATTTTTTACTAGAGTCAAGGAAAGACTTGAAAAAGCCACATATAGTACAATTTAAAATTGGATGAAGATCCTGCAAATGTTATAGTGCAAAGTAATTAGGTAGACTCTTCAATACAAGATTGTGCTCATGTTTCCCAGGTTTGGTCTTTTTGTTGCTCTTCTATAATTACAATCTCAGAGGCTTAATTTACCAAACAGCAATGCCTTTTTGTTTTATGCCCTAGGTACCAAGGGAATGTCACATAGTTTTGGTGAAATGCAGCTTAGTTTCATTAATAAAGCAAATTTCTTATTCAGTTTAACAGTCATGTTCTTGGAGTGCTGCACGTGTAAGTTTCATGAAAATGCTTTCAAGCTTATGCCCCTATCTTGTTCAATAAAATTAGTCTCAAGATATCCCTTTTTACTATGTAAACTGGAACTGTTTCATGATTTTGAAATGCAACCAGTAGAAATGAACATAAGGGGTGGGGGAAAATCCACTACTAATCTCAGCTAGACAAAGTTCTTAAAAATCAAAAAGCCTATTCACACAAAATTATATGTAATGACTGTAGTAATCAGTTTATTACACAGATTAATCATTCTTGAACGTACAAGCTCCAGAGGAGCAATTGGGTCTTTAAATATACACAAGTATTTCCATCAAATGAATTTTCACCCTTACATCCAAATAGACCTAAGCAGTTAAAAACATAAGAAAATAAGAGCTATTAGCTATGAATTAACTGAGAAACCACATACAAACCAAAGAATATGGAAGAGAGAAAGAAGGGCTAAAAGGCTGAAGGTTGAAGGGGTGGGGAGATGTAAAAGAGTTGGGAACAAAGCCCATCACACTTTATGTACTAATAGCTCCAATCCATTTAAATATTGACCAGTTAAACTTAGACCTTAAAATACAGGATGTGGGTAGAATTAATCTGGTTGGTCATAACTTTCACCCAAGACGCAGGTCCTTCAGAATAAAATGAATACAGAAACAGCTTCATGTTCTTCACCTTGCTTTACATAACTGTTTTGAGTTTAAATGGATTCCACTTAAAAACAATCTCCTACAGGTCAGTGGAGCTTTTCTTTTCCATCCAAGCACACACCAAACCCACCACCCCTCACACCTTGCCGTTATCCAAATTTAAGTCAATAAGGAAAGCTTTTAGTCTCAGCACCTAGGTTACGCACTGGAGAAGAATGGCTTGTCCACACACCACTTCTCTGCTAGGAGGCAATGTTGTACAGAAGTACAGTATTTCTAGTTTGTTGTTCCAAGTATGTACAACACGCAGCACTGCTGTATCAGGTAAAACATGTGCACAGGGAAGATGAGGCGTGGGCTACATAGAAAGCAGTCAAATGGAAATCAAAAGGACTTTCTCTTTCAGAGTTCCCCTATCTTTATTTGTAGAGGTTATCCAATAATTTCTTTAATTACATCGCATACTTCTGAGTCCATTCCCGAGCTATTCTGTTGTACCTGTACACACAAAGAGAAGCTTGGCTTAACAAGGTAAGGAATCAGTTAGTAAGCAACAGATTTCATTCATTATCCCCTCTAGTAACTTGAAGGGAATAATTGACAGGACATACAAACAAAGGTACCTTTTAACCCCACATTTCTTTCTCTTTTTTTTTGAGACAGAGTCTCACTCTGTTGCCCAGGCTAGAGTGCTGTGGTGTCAGCCTAGTTCACAGCAATCTCAAACTCCTGGGGTCAAGTGATCCTTCTGCTCAGCTCCTAAGACGTGGGAGCTACAGCATGTGCCCACCATGCCTGGTCTAATTTTGTTTCTATATATTTTTAGTAAGGCCAATTAATTTCTTTCTTTTATAGTAGAGATGGGTCTCGCTCTTGCTCAGGCTGGTTTCGAACTCCTGACCTTGAGAGATCCTCCAGCCTCGGGCTCCTAGACTGCTGGGATTCCAGGCATGAGCCACCATGCCCAGCCTACCCCAGATTTCTAATAAGCATTTATTCAGTGACAGTGGGAAAAAGCTGTAAAATGTTGAGTTTCCTTTAATTGCTACTTACAGAGGATTCTGATTAAATTTTAGCATTTGCTGGCATACACCTTCTTCCATACTTGATTGCCTTATTTCCACAAAAGACCACAACTCTTGCTTGATTCATTTAAGTTCCTTTTTTGAGACAGAGTCTCACTTTGTTGTCCAGGCTAGAGTGAGTGCCGTGGCGTCAGCCTACGCTCACAGCACCTAACTCCTGGGCTCAAGCAATCCTGCTGCCTCAGCCTCCGAGTAGCTGGGACTACAGGCATGCGCCCCACCATGCCGGCTATTAATTTTTCTATATAACTACTTGCCAATTTCTTTCTTTCTTTCTTTCTTTTTTTTTTAGACAGAGTTCACTCTGTTGCTCAGGCTAGAATGAGTCCGTGGTGTCAGCTAAGCTTCACAGCAATCTCAAACTCCTGGCTTCAAAGATACCTGCTGCCTCCCCAGCCCTCCGAGTAGCTGGGCTACAGGCATGCACCACCGTGCCCGGCTCATTTTTTCTATATATATTAGTTGGCCAATTAATTTCTTTCTATTTATAGTAGAGACGGGGTCTCGCTCTTGCTCAGGCTAGTTTCAAACTCCTGACCTCGAGCAATCCATCCGCCTCAGCCTCCCAGAGTGCTAGGATTACAGGAGTGAGCCACTGTGCCTGGCCAATTTCTTTTTATTTATAGTAGAGACAGGGTCTCGCTCTTGCTCAGGTTGGTTTCAAACTCCTGACCTCGAGCAATCTGCCTGCCTTGGCCTTCCAGAGTGCTGGGATTACAGCCGTGAGCCACCGTGCCCGGACCCTATTTAAGTTCTTGATACTATTTAATTCCACAGTATGGTTCTAGAAATCATATGCTAAACAGTGACTAAACTGACATAATATTTTCCTTTATATGAATAAAATACTCGTTTTGGTAAACTTCCTTTTACAATTTGCTTAACAACATGAATGGGTTTATTATTTGAAGAACTCGGAATTTTATTCCAGTAATAAAATAAGCAGAGCAAATGATTCTATAATTCTTCTATTAAAAAAAGGATGCAACACCTGTAATCTTAGCATTCTGGGAGGCTGAGGTGGGAAGATCACTCAAGGTCAGGAGTTCGAAACCAACCTGAGCAAGAGCCAAACTCTGTCTCTACTATAAATAGAAAGAAATTAATTGGCCAACTAAAAATATATATATAAAAAATTAGCCAGGCATGGTGGCACATGCCTGTAGTCCCAGCTACTTGGGAGGCTGAGGCAGGAGGATCGCTTGAGTCTAGGAGTTTGAGGTTGCTGTGAGCTAGGCTGACACCATGGCACTCTAGCCCGGGAACAGAATGAGACTCTGCCTCAAAATAAAAAAAAAAAAAAGGATGCAGGAAAGTTCTGCTGAACACTACTACCACAATGACATAGGAAATGCCTGCTGGGAAGCATCACACACTTCTAGATATTGGATAAAATGGTTCTCTAATTCAAAAAATTTATTTATGAATTCACAAATAGGAAAAAGCATGATCTAATTTTATTCTGAATGCTGCCAGAAATACATGACAATAAATAATATTCAGACTTAAACACAGATAAAATTAAACTACGAACCAACTGCTATTAAATTCCCTCATTACTGGTGTCATTCCATTAAAAAAAAAATATTATCTATGCTTCTCTAATCCATTAGAGTTCAAGTACTTCTTGAATCCTTTATATTTTAACTTAAAAAAAAAAAAACTATCCAACCTCTCCTACCTAGTTCCTCCTATAATCTCATTGAGTACATAAAACAAAAAATATTAGAACATTTTTACTTATTACCTCTTTTCATATCCTGATTACTCTTTAATAATTCATAGCACAATTCTAAAATATCTAAATTCTACATCAAGTTTTGTTTTTAAAAGAAATTTGAGGCCAGGCGCGGTGACTCACGCCTGTAATCTTAGCACTCTGGGAGGCCGAGGCAGGCGGATTGCTCGAGGTCAGGAGTTTGAAACCAGCCTGAGCAAGAGTGAGACCCCGTCTCTACTATAAATAGAAAGAAATTAATTGGCCAACTAATATATATAGAAAAAAATTAGCCGGGCATGGTGGCGCAAGCCTGTAGTCCCAGCTACTTGGGAGGCTGAGGCAGGAGGATCGCTTGAGGCCAGGAGTTTGAGGTTGCTGTGAGCTAGGCTGACGCCATGGCACTCACTTTAGCCTGGGCAACAAAGCGAGACTCTGTCTCAAACAAAAAAAAAAGGAAAGAAATTTGAGGCCTTCATGTCTGATAACATTTATTCATTTTCTTCCTTTAGATTATGACAAATGGTAGAAAATCAATTCCCTTTTCCCATTAATTTACAAGTACTTCTGTAAGACAAATGGGTACTTGATGCAAAATGCTTTCTATGTTAAAAGGCAAGTATAGCCAGTGCAAGGACTCATGCCTGTAATCCCAGCACTTTAGGAGGCAGAAGTGGGAGAATCATTTGAGCCCAGGAGTTTGACAACAGCCTGGGCAACATAGAGAGAACCCCATCTCTATGAAAAACAGAAAAATTAGCCCCGCATGGTGATGCAGGACTGTAGTCCCAGCTATTCAGCAGGCTGAGGCAGGAGGATTGCTTAAACCTAGGAGTTGCAGTGAACTATGATGATGCCACTGCACTCTAGCCCGCAACAGAGAAAGAACCTGACTCAGGAAAAAAAAAAAGGAAAAAAAAGCCAATCATAAAACTGTTGAAAAATATACCACTAAAAAGTTTTTCTATATAGTAGGAGTCATATGGAACAATTACAGATAAGATTGGTATCATCTACTTATAATGAATGATACTCAATGCAAATACTCCTCTTTACTGTCCCTAGGAGAGCATATTAGAACATCATTTTAATATGTGGATGTCCATGTCACCAGACAACTTTCCATCTAGAGGCCATACTTACTTTTCTCTATCTGTTTTGTAGATCCGAGCAATCTCAGGCACTAAAGGATCATCTGGATTGGGATCACACAACAGAGAACAGATGGACAAGAGTACTAGAATGAAAAAAAAACATATAAATTAGTAAAGGATAAAAGCAAAGGGCTGAGAGAAACATGCAATACCAACAAATGAGAAAATTCTAAGAATCTATTTATAGTGTAATGCCTAACAGTTTTGTAAGTTCTACCCAACTTTATATTAACAGTAATCAACAAAGATTTTAAGAAGCTTAAACAGACTTCAGCACCAGTCATTAAAAAATAAAAATGAAAACAAACACAAAAAGTTTAATGTTTAATTAATGTTTAATGACATCTTGGTCTTCCAGATAAGAATATAAGCCCATTTGTTCAAAGTCTCACAATAATCCCATGATATAAGAAAAGTTTATATGACTGTCTCTATGCCTGAATTCCTAAGGAAACTTCCTAGGAGGTGAAGTGAAGTGATCTGCCCAATGTCCCTAGCTAGTAATTAAAATGGAATTAGAACCCAGAAGTCTAAATCATAGACAGAGAACACTTTTCAGAGCCCATAAAGTTCAATTTTTAGAAGCCCAGGTTCAGGGATAAATGGCTTTCAAACTTCCAAAGACAGTCACACTACTGAATACTCTTAGGCAAAAATGGCAACCATAAAATCAAACAATCACTGTTTTCTCAATGGCAGGTACCACATCCAGAAAATGGATTTGTTTCTTTTTCAGTTGAAAACAATTTAGTCAGCCAGACACGGTGGCTCACGTCTGTAATCCTAGCACTCTGGGAAGCCAAGGCATGAGGATCACTTGAAGTCAGGAGTTCCAGACCAGCCTGAGCAAGAGTGAGACCTCGTCTCTACTAAAAATAGAAAAATTAGCTGGGAGTAGTGGCATGTGCCTATAGTCCCATCTATTCATAAGGCTGAGGCAGAAGGATTGCTCAAGCCCTGGAGTTTGAGGTTGCTGTGAGCTAGGCTGACGCCATGGCATGCTAGCCCAGGCAACAAAGCAAGACTCTGTCTCAAAAAAAAAAAAAAGAGAGAAACAATTTAGTCTAAGTCAAGAAGATAAAGGCAAGTACCTGCTATCCCAAATGGGGATGGGCACACACTAATTACAGAGGATACAACATACTTCTACCAAGGTTTCATATTCTTTTCAGTGACGATTTAGAATCTCATCTGAGCCATTTCTACTCAGTGACAACCTGGGATGTAGCAGACAAATCTCAACACTATAGTTTCCTCTGTTCAAATCTGTGCTTAACTTATGTATTCCTTATTGAATGGGGGGGGGGGCAAAGCCACTGATTACATCAAGTTCAGAAGCCTCTGACACAATGAAATAAATTTAAATCCTTCGACACTAACAGAATTCAGCTATCTTATTTCTCTCTGAGGTTCTGTATTAAGAGGCAATAACTCCTGAGTCCACCTTATTCCCAAATATCAAATTCAGCTAGGAAAAGATTTACTCATTTTCCTATCTAATCTATTCTATAGAGATCAAGGGCTTTGGTAACAAAAATGCTATTTCCTTGCCTTAAGAGCATATGCCAAAAAAAAAAAAAAATCAGGAAAGCTGTTTTCTGACTCTTCATTCCTGTTGCCCACAATTCTAGCAAATGCCAGTCCCAAAACATCTTCTCTTCCCATTGTCAGGTGTCATCACCTGATGCCCTCTTCAAGGACAGAACATTCTAACAATTAGGAAAGATTTCATATATTTCCTGGAAATGACAACAGGGAGTCATAGATTTTTGAATGCTCATGAAAATAACAACCACAGAAAGAAGAAACTTATCTAGCCTATCACGCTGGCAATAGTACAAAATGATTTTTCACCTAAAATTAGACATACAGTTTGATCCTTCAACAACGAGGGTTTGAACTGCATGGGTCTATAGGTAGATCTTCCAACTCTTTCACCCCTGAGACAGCAAGACTAACCCCTCTTCTTCCTCAGCCTATTCAATATGAAGATAATAAGGATGAAGACCTTTATGATGATCCAATTCCACTTAATGAATAGCAGATATATTTCCTCTTCCTTATGACTTTTTTATGTGTTTGTTAGCCATTTCGACATACTCTTCTGCAAAATATGTATTTAAGTCTCTTGCCCATTTTTATTGTTAATTTTTATTGCCATTACTGATTTATAGGAGTTTTTCATACATTCTGAATATGAATCTTTCATCAGATATATGTATTGCAAGTATCTTCTCTAATCCGTGAGCTGCCTTTCACTCTTAGTGGTATCTTTTATATATATATATATTTTTTATTTCAGCATATTATGAGGGTACAATTTTTTTTTTTTTTCAGACAAGAGTCTCGCTTTGTTGCCCAGGCTAGAGTGAGTGCCGTGGCGTCAGCCTAGCTCACAGCAACCTCAAAACTCCTGGGCTCAAGCGATCCTCCTGCCTCAGGCTCCTGAGTAGCTGGACTACAGGCATGCACCACCATGCTGGCTCATTGTTTCTATATATATTAGTTGGCCAATTAATTTCTTTCTATTTATAGTAGAGATGGGGTCTAGCTCTTGCTCAGGCTGGTTTCGAATTCCTGACCTCGAGCAATCTTCCTGCCTCGGCTTCCCAGAGTGCTAGGATTACAGGCGTGAGCCACTGCGCCCGGCTGGGGGGTACAAATTTTAAGGTTTCAAATAGTACCCTTGCCCCCCCTTCCCTGACAAGTCTGAGCTTCAAGCGTGACCATCTCCCAGACGGTGCACATCTTACTCATTATGTATGTATATACCTGCCTCTCTCTTCCCTCCCAATACCCAATTAATGTAGTTTCTATGTGTCCACTTAGGTGCTGCTCAGTTAATACCAGTTTGCTGGTGAGTATATGTGGTGGTTGTTTTTCCATTCTTGGGATATCTCGCTTAGTAGTATGGGTTTCAGCTCTGTATTTCAGGAAAATACAAGATGTGCTATATCGCCATTGTTTCTTAAGCTGAATAGTACTCCACGGTATACATATACCACATTTTATTAATCCACTCATGAATTGATGGGCAATGACTTTCTTTTTAATGTTTTTTCTCTAGCTTATGGTATATAATACAAATAACATACAAATGTATGTTAACTGTTTGTTATTGGTAAGGCTTTTGGTCAACAGTAGGCTATTAGTAGTTAACTTTTTGGCAAGTAAAAAGTGATATGTGGGTTGGTGGCTCAAGCCTGTAATCCTAGCACTCCAGGAGGGGAGGTCGGAGGATTGCTTGAGGTGGAGTTGAACAGTCTGAACAAGAGTGAACCCCGTCTTCACTATAAATAGAAAGAAATAATGGCAACTAATATATCTAGAAAAAATTAGCCGGCATGGTGGCGCATGCTGTTGTCCCAGCTACCTTGGGGCTGAGGCAGGAGGATCACTTGAGTCAGGAGTTGAGGTTGCTGTGAGCTTAGGCTGGCGCCATGGCCTCTAGCCCAGGCAACAGAGTAGACTGTCTCAAAAAAAAACTGCTGCTCAATACTAAAAAAAAAAAAAAAAAAAAAAAGTGATATATGGATTTCTGACTGCATAGGAGGTTGGCACCCCAAACCTTGTATTGTTCAAGGGTCAACCATACTACCAAATTAGTATTTGTACAAATTCCCCTTATTCTTGTTCTAATTATTCTAATAAGGCAACTTTAAATGGATACATTTTAAAGAAACAGGAAATTGGGGTAAGTGGTTATCTGGACTTGGTGAAAAAAAAAAAATTTTTTTTTGAGACAGAATCTCACTCTGTTGCCTGGCGTCAGCCCTGCTGCCAGAGTGCCTTGGCGTCAGCCTAGCTCATAGCAACCTCAAACTCCTGGGCTCAAGAGATCCTTCTGCCTCAGCCTCCTGAGTAGCTGGGACTATAGGCATGCACTACCATGCCCAGCTAATTTTTTCTATACATTTTAGTTGGCCAATTAATTTCTTTCTATTTTTAGTAGAGATGGGGTCTCACTCTTGCTGAAAAAATTCGTAGTACACTACTTAGCTTCTTTAATGGAAAACTGATTTTGATTTATGTTGTATTATACCTTCTTCTTCTGTAAAGAGAGTAACTCCTATGTCTACCAACTGTATAGGCTCTTGACTGAACTGACAAGCTTTTACCTACATACATCCATGCTTCATCAGTATACACTCATTTTCATTAGGGGTTAGTATAACCCACAGTCACTTTCAATTCTAACAACATAAGCTAGTGGCTTTATAGTATACTTATATCTGCTCCCTTTAAGTTTTTTGTATATTTATTAATAGGTCCCTAAACATATATCTTCAAAGTGGAGGAGGACATATTGGGTAAAAATTACTGCCCTTGAAAAAACAGGGACTATTAAAGAGATAATTGATATCACATACAGGATTAAAGCCTTTCATAGAACTACCTGTCCACATATTCAATTTACAAAAGGGATTCATTAAAACATTAAACCTAGGATAGCTGATAAAATCGAATTCAACAAAATGGCACTGTAATTATTTTAAAAGATTAGCTATGAAGATAGAATATACAAGTCAAATAAACTTCTAACAGTTCTTATCATTTACAATAGATTAAAAAAAAAATCAACACTAGGCAAGAGAAGGGGCAATAAAAAAAGAGATGGCAACAATTTCAGCTATCATGGACCCCCACCCCAAGCACCCTCCCCTCCAAACACAATTCCACCGCTCTTGGTTCCATTACTAGATTTACATCTCTACTGCTATCTGGTGAAAAAAGAACAACCAATAGGACCTTTACCAGGGCAGACAATGACAAGAACAGGTATATAAACACTTTCTCAAGTAGTCCTTGAATTATAATGGGCACCACCCACAGAAAAAAAAAGGAACCACTTCTTCGGAAAACTATTTCATTCAAAACTCTTAAAAATGTGGTTTTAGGGCCCAGGCATGGTGGCTCGTGCCTATAATCCTAGCACTCTGGGAGGCTGAGGTGGGGGGATTGCTTGAGCTTAGGAGTTCGAGACCAGCCCCAGAAAGAGCAAGATCCCATCTCTATTTAAAAAAATTAGCCAGGTGTCATGGCACGCCTGAAGTCCCAGCTTCTCGGGAGGCTGAAGCAGGAGGATCACTTAAGCGCAAGAGTTTGAGGTTGCTGTGAGTACGATGACGCCACTGCACTCTACCCAGGGTAACTAAGCAAGACTCTTGTTATATAAATAAAAAAATAATGAAAAATAAAAATGTGGTTCTTGGCTGTGTGTAGTGGCTCCTATCTGTAATCCCAGCACTTTGGGAGAATTACTTGAGGCTAAGAGTTCAATACCAGCTTGGGCAAACAGCTGAGATCCTATCTCTACAAAAAACAGAAAAATTAGCCAAGTGTGGAGGCATGCACCTGTACCCAGCTACTTAAAAGGCTGAGGTAGGAGGATCACTTAAGCCCAGGAGTTCGATACAATTTAGACAATACAGTGAGATGCCATTTCATTCATAAATAAATAAATACAATAGAATAAAAATGTAGTTTTCTGGTTTTATTTTTATCTAGGACTTTATATCCAACACTTTTTTTTTTTTTTTTTTTTTGAGACAGAGTCTCGCTTGTTGCCCAGCTAGAGTGAGTGCCATGGCGTCAGCTACTCATAGCAACCTCAAACTCCTGCGTCAAGCAATCCTCCTGCCTCAGCCTCCCAAGTAGCTGGACTACAGGCATTCGCCACCTGCCCGGCTTTAATTTTTTATATAATATTAGTTGGCCAATTAATTTTTCTTTCATTTTATAGTAAGACGGATCTCGCTCATGCTCAGGCTGGTTTCGAATCCTCCTCGAGCAATCCGCCCGCCTCGGCCTCCCAGAGAGCTAGGATTACAGGCGTGAGCCACCGCGCCCGGCTATCCAACACTTTTGACAATCGTGCCTTTATCCCAGTTACTGGAGTGCTTACAATGAACCAGCTATCTGTATATTTTTGCTTCTTTAATCTTCATAATAACAATGAAATAATTATTGTTGTCCCATTTCTACAGATGAAAAAACTGAGGAATACAGAGGCTAATTTGTCTCAAGTTTCATTCAGTAAGAGGTAGATCTAAGATCTGAACACAAGCAACTAGATCCAGAATCTATGTTCTCTACTATGAAACTATGCTGTCACCTGTCTATATACATTAAAGAATTGGTAAATTATAACCAGATAGAAAATTATTTTTTATATCAAATTTCACCACCCAAATACCAAAATTAACATTGTCTATTTCTGGCTATTTAATATACTTTCTTTTTTTTTTTTTTTTGAGACAGAGTCTCGCTTTGTTGCCCAGGCTAGAGTGAGTGCCGTGGCGTCAGCCTAGCTCACAGCAACCTCAAACTCCTGGGCTCGAGTGATCCTTCTGCCTCAGCCTCCCGGGTAGCTGGGACTACAGGCTGCGCCACATGCCGGCTAATTTTATATATATATATCAGTTGCCAATTAATTTCTTTCTATTTATAGTAGAGACAGGTCTCCTTGCTCTGGCTGGTTTTGAACTCCTGACCTTGAGCAATCCGCCGCTCGGCCTCCCAAGAGCTAGGATTACAGCGAGCCACAGCGCGCCTTAATATACTTTCCTATATAACTCATGTTATATATATATATATTTTTTCTTCTTTTCTGCATTTTTCAAACATAATTATTTCCCCATTTTTCACAGTATTTGTAAGGATTAATAGTCTTTTAAATGCACATGCTAGAATCAATTTATTTCTTCCTCTACTGTTGGACCTAGAAATAATTTTTCAATTTTCAGAAATAACACTGTCACAAATATACTTGCATACAAACCTTTTTCAGCATTTGGGATTGTTTTCTTAATACAAATGAACAAAACTAGAATTACTGGGTCAAAGTGTACGAATGATTAAGTCTCTTAATATGCACAGGGTGGGCTCTACAATTCCATACCTCTACCTGTGGAATATGAGTGCTCATTTTAATATACCTCATCTGCATTTAGTCTTCTTTTTTAAAGATCTTTGTTAATTTAAAACGTAAAAAATGGGAACTTTTTTTTTTTTTTGAGACAGAGTCTCACTTTGTTGCCCAGGCTAGAGTGAGTGCCGTGGCGTCAGCCTAGCTCATAGCAACCTCAAACTCCTGGGCTCAAGCAATCCTGCTGCCTCAGCCTCCCGAGTAGCTGGGACTACAGGCATGTGCCACCATGTCCCGCTAATTTTTTCTATGTATATTAGTTGGCCAATTAATTTCTTTCTATTTATAGTAGAGACAGGGTCTCACTCTTGCTCAGGCTGGTTTTGAACTCCTGACCTCGAGCAATCCACCCGCCTCGGCCTCCTAGAGTGCTAGGATTACAAACCTGAGCCACCACACCCGGCCCATTTCTTTATTCTTTGGTTCTTCTTTGTCCATTCATCTGTTGGGATCTGAGTTTTCTTCTTTTATGGATTTACATTCTTCATATTTTAAACATATTAACTCATTACCATATTTGACTTTTTTCCTAACTGTACCTTAAAATGATTTTTCTTTTAAACAATTGCTTTCATATTTTATAAATCTAGTGAGCTCTTTCATCACTTTCAGAATAGAAAGTTGAGGTCTGATAAATATTCGTTTTTGTTTTCTTCTATAAATTATGGTTTGTTTTTTAATCCACCTTTGATTTCATCTGGGGATATTACTGAGGGGGTGTACAATTTCAAATCAACACATAAAACAATGTTTGTAAACTACATCACTCAGTTCATTGATTAAAAAAATTTCTAGGCTGGGCGCGGTGGCTCACGCCAGTAATCCTAGCACTCTGGGAGGCCAAGGCGGGAGGATTGCTCGAGGTCAGGAGTTCGAAACCAACCTGAGAAAGAGCGAGACCCCCGTCTCTACTATGAATAGAAAGAAATTAATTGGCCAACTAATATATATAAAATTAGCCAGGCATGGTGGCGCATGCCTGTAGTCCCAGCTACTCGGGAGCTAAGGAAGGATTACTTGAGCCCAGGAGTTTGAGGTTGCGTGGGCTAGGCTGACGCCACGGCACTCACTATAGCCTGGGCAGCAAGTGAGACTCTGTCTCAAAAAAAAAAAAAAAAAAAAAATTTCTAACCTACTCAATGTAAGTAATTAGGAACTTATTAAGAACTACTGGCTCTTTCATTAAAAATGTGGCCAATTAACTTTCCTTACATATTTTCAAACACATACACACACACAACAGAAATAATAACTGTTAAGATGTCCATAAAAATTTATATTAAACTAATCATTTTAGAGGATGACTGTTCCTGATAGAAACCTAAAGATAAGAGCTGGTGAAACCTTTTAACAGTCTGAAAAGAAAATTGCCTATATTGTGTTCAAGAACTTAATGTCTATATTTATAGCACAAACATTCTTCAAAAGGGCTGATATTTCCTATTCTGGAACAGTATCTCTCCTTTCCATTCATGAATCTCAAGATTGGAAGGGACATTAAATTGTGTTCTACTTTATGCTCTTAAAAAAATTTATACCAAGTACCCATCCCATAACCTACGCTTGAACAGCACAATCAGCAGACTAGTTCCCATACCAAGGAACACTCATGCTTGAAAATTCAACTCTTTCTAGTTGTCTCAAGGTGTATTTCACAATAAGAGAAGTTGCTACCTCTTCTTTAAAGAAACATGAGTGATCTTTTCAAAAACAGAGGACCTTAAAAAGACAACACAATTGTTTTATCTTGATATCAAGTACCAATTCTATTACCTTTTGAAATAGTTAGTGCTGGAGACCACTGTGACCGTAGAATATCAAGACAAATGCTGCCATTACTGTTAATATTTGGATGATAAATTCTTGTTGTAAATGCAACCTATATAAAAAAGGAAAACTTTTTATAAATTGGTTTATTAGTATCATAGAAAGCACATTAAAAACAATTGCCACATCCCAATTACCTTAGGTGGTTTGAAGGGGTAATCTGTTGGGAAATGAATTGTCAAGAAAAATACTCCACCCTGATATGGACTGTCATTCTGTTAATGACAAGAAAAGTGGGATTAAAATGAGTAAATTATATAAACTATTTATTCTGAAATTAATCTGAATACTTACTGGCCCCATTATTGTAGCTTGCCAATGGAACACTGAAAAAGAATAAGAAAAAAATCACCACATAGCAATATCCACATTATATCTACACTATAATAACATATCATTCCCTATCTAATCCAAGTTCATTTATAAGTAATATAATAATGAGTAAGAGCAGGATGAGGAACCTAAATCAAGTGTGAGTCTGAAGAGAGAAAAAAACAACTAGAGTGAACAAGAAAAAGCATTTGGGGCTAAAATATCTTGAAAATTCATGTCAAGGAGACAAACTTTTTGACAAAGCTCTAAGTTCTACTTTTAAACAGGTATTTACTTACCTTACAGGGTAAATAATTTCCTCAAAACAATTACATATAACATAAACATAGTTCTTTTATAATGTGGGTATAGGCAGAACTGTGAAGTCAAGGTACATAATACTCAAATAAGGAAAGACTGGTTTTAAAAATGAGAAAAAAATTTCTAAGAGCTCTCATGTGTTGGTCTTTAGAATTACTGGCCACTCATTAAATAAAAAAAACATTGGCTGAAATCCCAAGCTTTGTTATAAGCACTAGGAATAATTCCGATAAGTTATAAACTAGTTTAATAAGAAAATCTCTTTAAATGCAGAAAATGATGGTGTTTGTTCCATTTCTAAGGAGGTGCTACTAAGTATAGCACAGAGATGAAAAGCTAGAGTGTTCACTTACAAGCAAGCTACTACTTAGGACTTCAAATTCATGTTGGGATCTGAACAAAAACTAAGGGAAGTTGTCACTGGGATCATATCTCTGAACAACTCAAACCAAGTAACCCTTGTCACAAAGTAGATATATGAAGACTAAGAAGCCTATAAAAATCTATTGGAATGTCAGTTCAAGTCCTAAAGATCCTCTAGCCTCCTTAATATGAAATGGTTCCTATGGTTGTTTTTTCCCTCACTGGGACCACAGGGAACCCACAAATAGCAGCCTGTTTATTAGGAATTGAAGGTGAAGGACAGGTACTGCTGAGGCTTTCCTTCTTAGATTACCCCTCACTAGTATGTAGGAAAATTCATCAACTCATCATACTTTCTGCCAACCATTTAATGGCTTGAGCAGAGTAACTAGGAGAAAGCCATTCTGAGCCACTAAGAGAGGTCCTAGTATCTTCAACAGAAGTGCTATAAAAGGCTCATAAGTCCAAAAGTCCTATAACAGGACATTAGGATGTCATGCAGAAAGAAACAAAAGGCAGGCTGGGTGAGGTGGCTCACGCCTGTAATCCTAGCACTCTGGGAGGCCAAGGCAGGAGGATTGCTGCCTCGGCCTCCCAGAGTGCTAGGATTGCTTGAGCTCAGGAGTTCATGACCAGCCTGAGCGTCAGGGGATGTAGCTCAGTGTTAGAGCACATGCCTTGCACATATGAGGGCCCACATTCGATCCCAGGCATCTCCAAGCAGATTTCCTAATCTTGGCCGGGAACAGTGGCTGATGCCTGTAATCCTAGCACCCTGGGAAGCCAAGGCAGGAGGATTGCATGAGCTCAGGAGTTTGAGACCAGCCTGAGCAAGAGCCAGATCTATTCTCCGCTAAAAATAGTAAAAATTAGCCAGGCGCAGAGAACGCACCTGTAGTCCCAGCTACTCAGGAGGCTGAGGCAAGAGGATCGCTTGAGCCCAGGAGTTTCAGGTGGCTGTGAGCCAGGCTGATGCCATGGCACTTTAGCCCAGGAAACAGAGTGAAACTCTTGTCTCGAAAAAGAAAAAAAAAACAAAAGACAGCTAGGTGTGCTGGCTCATTCCTGTAATCCCGCTACTTTGGAAGGCCAATGCTGGAGGACTGCTTGAGGCCAGGAGTTTGAGACTAGGCTAAGCAAACACAGCAAGATTCTGTCTCTATAAAAAATAAAAAATAAGCTGGGCAGGGTGGCACACATCTGCAGTCCCATTTACTCAGGAGGCTGAGGCGGGAGAATCTTTAGCCCAGGAGTTTGAGTCCAGCATGGGAAACACAGCAAGACTTCATCTCTAAAACAATTTTTTTTAGGTTTCATTCTATTTTTAAATCAAGGTTGCAGTGAGCTATGATCGCGCTATCGCAACTCTAGCCTGGGTGAAAGAGTGAGATCTTTCTGGCACATTTGTTAAGTTTCTGCCCGAGTCTGCCACATATTTTGGAGCTGGCAAAGGCTTGAAAACAAAGAGATCTCTCTTAAGCCTTTCCTGCATCAAAGATTGGCTCCCACAGCAGGCTAACTCATAAGTCTACATCCTTACAGACAGGCCGACACAGGGTTGTCTGGCCTGAGGAGAGTCTGTGCTGAGGGGTGTCTTTCCAACCCTGTGATGGATTTGCTTAAAAAAAAAAAAAAAAAAAAAAGTGAGATCCGGCCTCTAAAATATAAATAATAAATCTCTTATTCCTATTATTGGTAGTTCTGAATGTTAGATATTTTTTCCTCATGAAGTCTAAAGGTACTAAAGTATATGCAAGTAGAAAAACAGGGAACAGAAATCAGGTATTGGTAGCTTTTCCATTTTCATTTGTATGTGAATTTTTAACATAAATGCAGGGACGTAAAACATTAATTCAAGTCTAAATATTTCAGTGAACAAATTTCAATGATTTAACTTTATAACAATTATAAATAGATCTGTTAAATTTTTCTGGACAACAGTAACATTTGGATTTTTAAAAGTAAATTTCTTATTAATAGCAACTAAATGGTGTTTATAGCATTTTTATCATAAATTCCATCAACATTCACTATACTTTTGTGAGTTGTCCCATATGTGAGAGTATGTGTTTTTAATGTTGTCTGTCATGTGCTGTTCCTTAAGTTTGCTATTAAAAAAAATTAAATTTTTTTAGAAAGCAATTAATATAGAAATATTGAAATTATTGAGTTAATTTTTTTTTAGACAGAGTCTCACTTTGTTGCTCAGGCTAGAGCGAGTGCCGTGGCGTCAGCCTAGCTCACAGCAACCTCAGTCTCCTGGGCTCAAGCAATCCTCCTCCCTCAGCCTCCCAAGTAGCTGGGACTACAGGCATTCGCCACCATGCTCGGCTAATTTTTTCTCTATATATTAGTTGGCCAATTAATTTCTTTCTATTTATAGTAGAGATGGGGTCTCACTCTTGCTCAGGCTGCTTTTGAACTCCTGACCTCGAGCAATCCGCCTGCCTCGGCCTCCCAGAGAGCTAGGATTACAGGCGTGAGCCACCGTGCCAGCCTACTGAGTTAATTTTAAATTTTCCATTTACTATTAAAGTACTAATTCTTTCTTCTTGCTTGTTTGAAGATCAATCCTTTCTTATCTTGTTAAAAATATTACCACACTTAAGAAGTTATTAGGAAAATTTAAATCAGGACAAGTTCTGTTTTTTTTGAGACAGAGTCTCACTCTGTCAGCCTCGCTCACAGCAACTACAAACTCCTGGGCTCACGCGATACTCCTGCCTCAGCCTCCCAAGTAGCTCGAACTACAGGCATGCACCACCATGCCCAGCTAATTTTTTCTATATGTTTTAAGTTGTCTAGCTAATTTCTTTCTTTTTTTTTTTTTTAGTAAAGACGGGGTCTCACTCTTGCTCAGGCTGGCCTCGAACTCCTGAGCTCAAACAATCCACCCACCTAGGCCTCCCAGAGTGCTAGGATTATAGGCATAAGCCACCACTCCCGCTGAGCCCAGGAGTTTGAGACCACCTGGGCAACATACCTCATCTTTACCTAAAATAAAAAAAATTAGCTGGGTGTGGCTGAGGCAGGAGGATCCCCTAAGCCCAAGAGATTGGGGCCGCAGTGAGCTACGATCACGTCACTGCACTCCAACATGGGTGACAAAGTGAGATCCTAGCTCTTAAAAAAAAAAAGAATACCTATCGGAATCACTGATTTAGGTCACCCTCTGGAATCCTTCCTAGACTCCTAGCTCTCCTAGGTGGAAGTATAAATGAGAGAACATAGTGAAAGAATATTTAGGCAGCCTCAAATTACAATTGTCTTGTAAATAGTTCAAGAATTACTAGAGGTTTCGAATACAAAGAACTCCATAAACAATTAATAAATGAAATACTGGCTCATAAGCATAAAATATTGCTATATTTTATGTAAACATCTATTTCAAAAAACTTTCATTTAATGATCTTGGAAGCTGTTCAAAATAAAAATTCATGGTACCAAAATACAAAATAAAAAGTTGTGATAATAAAAACCAAACTTCTACTACCACTTTGGTTTGATATTGTCAAACCAAATCACACAAACTAAAAGCTACACTCTATTTTATGAGAGTCTAAATATGAAGTTCACAGCCATGATTATTCTTTAGTATTCTGGATGAAGCCTTGAGGTTAAAGGGGCTAGTAAGAATATTTGTTAGTTTGAGACTGAATCTCTGGAGACCAACATCTAAATGTACAGATCTCAAAAGTCACATTCACCAAATGTTCAAAATAAAAGAAAATGAAGGCTGGGCGAGGTGGCTCAAGCCTGTAATCCTAGCACTCTGCGAGGCCGAGGCGGGTGGATTGCTCAAGGTCAGGAGTTTATCATTCCTTAAAGAGAATAAGGATAATCTTTTTCAGGAACAGTGTAACTAGCTTCCTTAACTTGGTCATCTCCAGCAGTACTTGCTGCTGATAAACATTCTACTTAAAAATTTTGTGGGCCGGCGCGGTGGCTCACGCCTGTAATCCTAGCTCTCTGGGAGGCCGAGGCGGGCGGTTGTCGAGGTCAGGAGTTCGAAACCAGCCTGAGCAAGAGCGGACCCCGTCTCTACTATAAATAAAAGAAACTAATTGGCAACTAATATATATAAGAAAAATTAGCCGGGCATGTGGCGCATGCCTGTAGTCCCAGCTACTTGGGAGCTGAGACAGAAGGATTGCTTGAGCCCAGGAGTTTGAGGTTGCTGTGAGCTAGGCTGATGCCACGGCACTCACTCTAGCCTAGGCAACAAAGTGAGACTCTGTCTCAAAAAAAAAAAAAAAAAATTTTGTGGGCCAGATGCAGTAGCTCACTCCTGTAATCCTAGCTAGCACTCTGGGAGATAGATGGAGGTGGG